AAGCGCTTGGAAAAATTGCTGCAGACAGGGGATAAAGAAATGCTGAGATATGATCCATTGTATGTTTTGCAACATTTCTGAAAATTATTGTCTTTCTGTGGTGGAAATTAAACTCTTTTCAATTCTAGTTAATGAGAATAGGGTCAGGAGGGACGCGCTGTTGGTGGTGACTGCCAGCAGAAGATCTTTTTCACAGGACGGATTACATGAGGAGCCAGGTCAAACCTGGAAAGCTTGATGGGACGGACAGTACTGATGGGGCACATCTGTTGCAGACACTGCTGCATACACATTTTAGAGGTTGTGGGAAAACTTAACATTGCGTGCTGTATTCACGCTGACAGTTACATATTTTTTTTTCATTACTATTTCATCCTTTGGGTTTTTTGAGCGTATGTGAAAAAAGTCACTGCAAGTGGAAAAAGTGAAGCTTTACATTTATATCTTAGCATCTGTATCTTCTAATAGTTCAGCTTCCTTTTATTCCAAAAGGTGTATTTTTATTTTTTTTTAATCTAAGGAATGTGTTGGCAAGTTCAAACTAGCTCATTTTCAACCAGCACACAGCATTTCAGTCAGCAGAAAGGTCTTTAGAAGATGTGTGATAATGAGTTTGACTTGATATTAGCAAGTATTAAGAGAACTCTCCCAACCCTGCTGAATTTCCTTCTTTGAGCTGGCAAATTGAAAAATATTCTTGTTGTATAGTGGAGACACAGTTCTTAAGTGGTGTGAACAGTCCTTTGTATCTGATTAGTAGATACCCCTTTTACAACTGTTCAGAGACTTCAATACTCATCACTTCAAAGCACCGAAGTAATGGCACTTGCCACAATCTGTAGACCCCCCTGTCCTATCCATCTCTTTATCAGCGAGGAGAGGCTTATACCAAAGAAATAGGGATTTTTTTTTTCCCCCCCGTTTTACAGCTTGGGCTTGAAAACCTGCTGTTGCTCCTCAATATACAGACTAATTTTGCATATGGGTAATCTCTTGGGGAATTAAGAGTCTGGCCTGCAGTCGCGTGCTGGAGGGCTTCAGTTTTACAACAGTTCTTGTGGGTTTCTCCTTCTCTTTGGCCTGACGTTTGCTGCTGAGGTGGGTGCGAGGGGGAGAGACGGAAGAGGAGCTGATGACGTTGTGCAGCAGCAGGTAGGGTAATGTGGGAAACCCACACAAACCAGCAGGCATGCGTGTGGCTGTGCACACACCTGCTTGAGTCAGGCGGGGCGTCTGTGCGTGGCTCGTGTGCCAAGGGCTCCCTTGAGTCACAGAAGGGCCAGGTTTTTCACATGGCCCAATCAGCCAAGTGGCAAAGCAGAACAGCTGTAGCAGATGATGCCAGAAAGGGGGAACTAAACTTGTCTTCCTCCCCCCTCCGCCTCTTCTGGGAATTGCTCTCTGCTTGGTCGCAGTTCCAGAGCCAAGAGCACGTTGTGTCCGTGACACTTCTCTGCAAACTCTGGCAGTTCTGCTTCAACTTCTTATCATAGAACTATAGAATGTTTTCGGTGGGAAGGGACCACTAGAGGTCATCTAGTCCAACCCCCCTGCAGTGAGCAGGGACACCGCTAACTCGGATCAGGTTGCTCAGAGCCCCGTCCAACCTGGCCTTGAATGCTTCCAGGGATGGGGCCTCCACCACCTCTCTGGGCAACCTGTTCCAGTGTTTCACCACCCTCA